TTGCTGAATTCATTTAGTTCTTTTCTTTTTTTTTTTTTTTTTTTTTTGGTTTTTCTCTGGTACCGGGAACCGAACTCACGACCTTGCGCTTGCCAGGCAGGCGCTTTACTGCTGAGCTAAATCCCCAGCCCCTGAATTCATTTAGTTCTGGTAGCTTTATTGTGGATTCTTTGAGACTTTCCATATATAGTGCATTGGCTGGGGATATAGCTCAGAGGCATAAGCATCTGCCTGGTAAGTGCAAGGTCCTGAGTTCAGTTCCTAGTATCATATATAGTGAAATGATCTGCTCAGTTTGCTTAGGAAGACATTGTCTCAAGATAAAAAGGGCTGGGAGCTACCTCAGTGGAGAGGCACTGGGTTCATTTCCCAGTACACAGAAACAAAACAAAAAACAATTCCTTCATTTATATATGTCTCCTGCCTTTCACTGAAAGCAGTAAAGAGAAACCAGTCCCCTCAGTAGTTTACTTAGAAATATGCTCTGCTGATTGTAGAGCAGAATGTTTCTATTTATTTATTTAGAGACAGGGTCTCACTATGTAGTTGAGACTGGCCAATAAGGCAGGAGATCAGGGCATGGCCAGCTGGCTAGGCAAGTAGGCATGACCTGTCAATCACGGAAATCCAGAACAGATCTGGCTCAGAATATTCCTTTTTTTTGTTGTCTTTTTGAGACAGGGTCTCGCTATGCAGTTCAGGCTGGCCTTGAGCTCACTTTGTAGCCCAGGCTGGCCTCAAACTTGCAATGATCCTTCTGCCTCAGCCTCTCAAGTGCTGGGATTACAGGCGTACACCACCACGCCCAGCAGAATGTTCCTATTTAGAAGATACATTCAAATTATAGCCTTTGTTATATCTGTAAAGTTATTTAATGCTACTGTCTATATAGTGGGAAAGCCAAATTCTTATTTGAAATATTTAGCCTTTCTAGAGGTTTAAAAGTGAGTAATTAACTGGACATGGTGGTGCATGTCTATAATTCCAGCACTTGGGAGGCTGAGGCAGGAGGATCACGGTGAGTTCGAGACCACCCTGGGCTACAAAGTGAGCTCAAGGCCAGCCTGAACTGCATAGCAAGACCCTGTCTTAAAAAGACAAAAAAATAAAACATTACTATATGTGTTTCACTTAAAAAATAAATAAATAAAAATAAAAGCGAGCAATTAAAAGTATCGGGTTTGGTGGGGGAACGTGCAGTGGCACAGTCCTGTAATCTCATCTACCCATAGTTTTAGGGCAGACAATCCTGGGTTCAAGGCCATTGTGAGCAACGAAGCCAGATCCTGTCTGGAAATACAATAAAAAGGGCCAGGTGTGATGGCACACGCCTATAATCTGCCACACGCGCAAAAGGGTTGCCCTGAGCTCAAAGCCAGCCTAAACAAAAAACAAAAAAAGCCATTTCTTGCTCTATCTCAATATAACATCAAAATTCCCTTTCATGTACAAACAGGTACATTTTATTCTGCCCCTCTTGGCTAGTAACATTAGTCAATCTTTACATATCTGTTAATTAATTTTACTCAGAACCACTGTTTCTGCTAATGCCAAGGGCACTTGACCATGTGGAGCAAATATATTACCTCAGTCTCCAAACACACCTGGCTGTCCTTAGAACTGAGGTGGGCGGACGATAGAACAGCCTGGGCTGATGAACACATTCTTGGTACGACGTTTCCAGATCCCCCTCCCATTAAAATCAAATATAAAACTGGCAGCCTTTCGTCCTGATTGGGGTCCTTTCTTGGACTCACCTGCTACTCTCTTGCAGTCATCAATAGATTCTTGTTTTTGTGGTTTTGAGACAGGGTCTCGCTATGCAGGTCAGGCTGGCCTTGAGCTCACTTTGTAGCCCAGGCTGGTCTCGAACTCACAACGATCCTCCTGCCTCAGCCTCCCAAGTGCTGGAATTACAGGTGTGTGCCACCACCCCGGGATGTTTTTTCTTGTTTTGTTTAGTCTGGGTTTTTTTGAGACAGGGTCTCACTACGTAGTGCAAATGGGCCTTCAACTCACTATGTAGCCCAGGCTGAGGAATGAATCTAATGCTGCACTAGGTGTGGTGGTGCACACCTGTGGTACTAGCATTTGGGAAGCTCAGGCAGGAGGATCCCTTGAGAGTTGAGGCCAACAGGCTACATAGTGAGTTCAAGGCCAGGGTGACCTGATAACAAGCTCCTGTCTCAAAAAACAAATAAGTAGCCGGGCATGGTGGCACACACCTGTAATCCCAGCACTCAGGAGGCTGAGGCAGGAGGATCATTGGAGACCAGCCTGGGCTACAAAGCCAGCCTGAACTGCACAGAGAGACCCTGTCTCAAAAAGACAAACAAATAAATAAAGATAAATAAACAAGTAAATAGAATAATTGGAAAAGAAAGGAGGAGGGGAGTATGGAGGGACAGAAGAAAAGTCTTCAAAGCAGCTGTTTTTTTGCGCGTTCTACCAAGCAAGCACAGCTCCCATGTCCCCTCCGCACAAACCCTTCCGATCTTCGAAGCTGTCTCTTTTCCCTCAGTTTCTTTATTCCAGCGAAACATCTCGAAGTCTTCTGATTGTTCTTCAAGTGAGACTCGTCCCTCTGTTGCCCTGGCCTCCTTCTGCTGCACCTCCTCAGTTTGTCAGTGTGTTCAGCGGATTACAGGACCTAGAAAGACTTCCTGGACGAGACCACAGCACCCTAGAACCCTGACAATTGCCACATTATCACAGTAGCTGAAAGAGGAAAACAAGTCAATTTTAGCAATGAAAGAAGAGATAAGCCAGGCATGGTGGCACACGCCTGTAATCCCAGCACTCGGGAGGCCGAGGCAGGAGGATCATTTTGAGTTCAAGACCAGCCTGGGCTACAAAGTGAGCTCAAGCCCAGCTTGAACTGCATAGCGAGACCCTGTCTCAAAAAGGAAATTAAAAAAAGAAAGAAAGAAAGAAAGAAATTCAGCCTGAACAATTTAAAGACTTAGCAAGACCCTGTCTCAAAATAAAAAAAGAGCGGGGCGAGGGACATAGCTCAGTGGCACGGTGACTGCCTGGCAAGCGTGAGGTTGTGAGTTCAATTCCCGGTACCCAAAAAAATACATAAATAAAAAATAAAAAAGAGCTGGGGATACAGCTCAGCCTGAAGGCCCTGAGCTCAACCCCAGTACAGGGAAAAAAAAAAAAAAGAAAGAAAGAACTCACAGCTATCTAGGTGCAGTGGCACACTTCTGTAATCCACCTACCCAGGTGGCTGAGGCAAGAGGATCTCAACTTTGAGGCCAGCCTGGGCAACTTAGTGACATCTTTGCTCAAAATTAAAACTAAGAAGCACTGGGGACCTGTTTCATAGGTGGACTACCCCTGGGTTCAGTTCACAGCACCACATGCAAACATACAAAAAGGCCAGGTATGGTGGCACACACATGGAATCCCAGCACCCGGGAGGCTGAGGCAGGAGATCACCGTGTGTCTCAGCACACACACACACACACACACACACACACACACACACACAAAATAAAAATTAAAAAAAAAAATGACACTGGGAGCTGGGTGTGGTGACGCACGCCTGTATTCCCAGCCCTCAGGAGGCTGAGGCAGGAGGATAGTTGC